AAGAACATTTTACATCAAAATTATATACCTTGATAAAATTTGAAAGTGCACCTTACCTCTACAGCTACAGATGCATCAGTATGCTAACTGCACCCATATATATATATATAGAGAGAGAAAGAGAGATAGAGAAAGAACAATATAAATTGGCCATATAAGTAATGGGGGTAAAAGTCACAACAAGAGCAACAAAAAAACAAGTAAAAAACATTCAACTAAAATCAATATTATTAAAAATGGCAAGAGAAGAAGTTAATTGGTTCACCATTCAAAAGCCTTTACATATTCCACCTCAGAGGCCAGGCGTTCCATGCCTTCAATAATTTCTTGAACAGAGATGGCCTCTTTGAACTTCACCAAAACCAAATGCTTCATATCACCACCACCCATCTCTCCGAAACTTCTTTCCCTTCTTTGCCTCAATAGCTTCACAAATATATACACTATTTATCAGTTGGAAGTAGAGAGATTTTTACAAAAATGCCCTGGGTTACTTCGGAAATTGCTGAATTGCGATTTACTTTTTAAGCCCCAAGATGCCCTCAAAATAAATGGGCAATAAAAGGAAGAAACATCAATGATGCCATTTCATCGCTACTCATTTCATGATAGGAATAAATTTTGCTTGGCAAAACTGAAATTTTGGTGAGATTCACTGAAATAGAAACTGGATCCAACTCTCAATAATTGCCCATATGCACTTCTACACACTAAAGAGAAGAGAGAGAGAGAGAGAGAGAGAGAGAGATGAAAAACAAGCTTTTTTGTACCTTGCATTATGGGGATTATTTACATTACCAATAAAGCAACTGAGTGCAAAGTAACTTTTGGACCTTCCAAACAGTGTACCTATATACAATTATGTGAATGTGGTTTGGCCTTGCATCCATCTTCTTTTATCTCAATTTCTTAAAACGGTAAAATATATAAAGAAACAATTTATTTTTTATATAAAGAGGTCACAATCATTATTATTCTTAAAATTTCAAAATAAATGATCGTAAAAGTGTAATTGGTTAGATTCAAAGTTGAAATAAAAAAAATAAAAAAATAAAATCTCAAACTTTGTGAAACACTACAAGTCATCTAATAAATAATTTTTTCAAATTTTTACATTAACTGATACATATAGAGCGATATACTCTTAGAACAAGTCAGTAAGATTTATTGGTATTTAAATAAACATAAACATGTTATTATTGAAAATCAATTTTAGATTATTTGTCACAAAAAGATTCTTTTAAAGTTAGTAGCATGTGCCACTTCTTTGAATAAAGTTTTGGGTCTAAATCTCATGATTAGCATAGCTTTTATAGGAATCGTCTACAAAGATATCATTTATCTTTTGTACAAAGAGATTGCAATCACTCTTATCCCTTAAATTTCAAAATGGGTGGTTGTTAGAGTATCACGGAATACACACAAAGTTCTCCAAAAAAAATTTGAACTTCGTGACTGATCTTAAATCATCCAATTTGACATCTAATGAGTGAGAATAGTTGTGACTTCCTTGTAATAAATTCTTATAATAAAGATAAATAGTTTCTTTTGTAGACAATCTCACTTTTATATATACGGGAAAAGTTTATATAGAGTTGAGGCTCTAAACAATCAAATTAGATCCTACCTCAAAATTTTCATTAGAAGAAGTTATTTTGATGCCGAAATGTCTTCAAATTGTTCATCTCGACATCAAGATGCATGGACATGAGAAAAAAATGGATTTCAAGTTTTTTAAATAGTATATTTTGTAATGTATTTTTGGACCGTCAATTTCAAGATTTTCAAGTTTTCATAGATCTCTCGATCTACACTATTTTTTAAGTTGTAAATTTTATAAATAAAGATGAAAATACAATTTAAGCCTATCACAAAGATTTTCAATATTGAAACCACATTTTTCGACAGTATTTGAAGGTAGGCTCAAATTTGATTGTTTAGAGCCTAGGCCCTATACATACCGTACCTTTATATATTAATTATATAAAAAAAACTACAAATATACGATGAGCTTCTAAAGTTTATTGGTCACAGGAGAGCATGTTGCACATCTACTCCCTCATGTAAAATTCTACCTAGGAGTAGGTATATAATATGCTCCAGGAGCATCCTACACGTGTGAGGCGTCCATATTATCATCTAATTTGAACGGTCTCGATTCATTGGAATTAAAAAAGGATGGCATGGCCCAAGAGGTAGGGTCCACCCAACTCATCCAAGATGCCAAGGACTGCCACTTTTCACTTGTCTATCTTTTTCTCACATGTGAGAACCAAATAAATAATGATCCACAAGCAAACAAATCTCATTCACACGTGTATGGTACGAGGTGTTCCCAAAGTCCATATATAGATATAGTGCCCTGATTTGCACGTAGGTCCACATACGTGTGGACAAGCGATGTCTCTTGTTTCAGTTTTCATTTGAATTGATTTAGAAATTAGAAGAAAAAGGCCGTATGCAATAGAATAAAAGTTAGATCTTTTGGTCAACAACAGGTAGTATACTATTTACCCTAAAAAAAACATATAGTATAGTATTTATATAGGTAGTATACTACTTACCCTAAAAAAACATGTAGTATACTACTTATATACTATGTGTGGTCTCTACTATTAGTTCTCCATGATGGATGGTGAAGATGGTCTGTCTATCCGCTAAAGTGGACAATGAGAAGCAGTTGCCTCGATCTTTAGCCGTTGAAAATTGACGATGAAAATCGCCATAACTACAAATATAATCTATTCTCCATATATTAAATTACAGGTAAGAGTATGGACACATATAATCAAACTAAAGTAGGACCTCATGGATAGAGGGAGAAATCAATTCAATCTCTATCTCTTCATTTGATAAGTATTATTGGAAATTAAATTGGAAATCCCATTGGAAATGGAGACACTCTTTTTGATGAGTAAATTCATCTTTGTCCAAACTTATAATTAAATACTCTTTTTTATATCACATAAAAAAAGATTATCTTTTGTCTTTTTCCGAAACCTAATCGACCGTCCCTAAACTTTAGGGATTCGGTTTTTGGAGCACTAGTATTTTTGTCTTTTACCATAATCAAAACAATATGAAATGCATCGCACATGCCTTTGCCAGGATCGGGATAAGATCGTACAACATTTACGCTTACGTATTTGTATGCGTACTTCGTCATAAATTTTTTTCAAGTTGTTTGGAATCAGTTACATAAATCTTGATCTTTCATCTTACTCTATTAAATATCTTACCTTGTGATAAGTTATCATATATTTTTTTACTACTTCCAACTACATCTTTTGGGGGCTATCTTTTTTTTTTTTTTTTAACCTTCCACTTGAATCGACTCACATTTCTTAACATGTGCCATACTGGATCTATGCTATACATGGTCAGCCCACCTAAATCTACTTTCTCTTTTTTTATGGCCTATTAGTGTCACAACTAAGTTCCTCCGAACGTAATCATTTCAAATTATATCATTTCTTTGTTTTGTCACGCATCCATCTCAACTCCTCATCTCAAATACACCCATCCTAGAAGTATATTGCTTATTAACCGCTCAGCATTCCGCTCCATAAGTAAAATCGGTCTTACAATTGTTCTATAGAACTTGTCTACCATATCCTTTTGAGTCAACCCTTGCTTTTTTTTATACTTCTATTTAAACTAACTCGCACCTCCTAACAATTGTTGTACTGGGTCTACACCACATATGGCCAACTCATTTAAGTCTACTATCTTTCATATTATCGTCTATTGGTACCACACCTAATTTTTCTAAATGGATTCATTTCAAATTCTATCCCTTTTTATCTTGTCATCCATCTCAACATCCTCATCTCAGTTATATTCATTCTATGGGTATATTATATTTGACTGCCTAACATTCTGCGTCATAAAACAAAGCTAGTCTCACAGCCGTCGCATAGAACTTGCTCTTCAACTTCATTAGTATGCAACAATCATATAAAACTCTGGTTACACATCACCACTTCGCCCACTCAGCTCTAATTTTGTGTACTACATCTTTCTCAATATTTCTAATTTTCTAGATTATTGATCCAAGATGTCAAAATTGCGGTCTTTTTTATATTTTTTAACTATTAATATTAACTACTTCATTGTCTCTATTTTTATTATTACTAAATTTGCATTCCATATACTATGTCTTAATCCGGCTAATTTTAAGACCTTTAGATTCTAGAGCATCCTTTCAATGTTCTAACTTTGTGTTGATGTCGTTTCGGATCTCATTGATCAAAACTATATCATCTGCAAGCAACATGCACTACCATACCTCATCTTGTAGGTGCCTAATTAAATCGTCTATAACTAAGACAAAGAGATATGTGCTCAATGTTGACCCTGATGTAGACTTATTGTCACTGAAAACACACTCGTCTCTCTATTAATTGTTTGTATATTAATTAGCGTTCTATCGTACATATCTCTCGCCAAATGTCTGGGAGACTTCTTCTTACTCATAACTATGAATCACCCATGCAATACTTTGACAATGTATGAAACATGGATAACTTGCATATAACGAGTTCACTTCACATGTGATCTCATCCTGAATAAAAAAATTGAGGACAATGCTGAAGTTTCTTACCAGAAACAAGAGGTTTCTGTCGGCTTTGTGCGGCTGTATTTACTATACAAAATCAGTTTTCTGGGTGGGCTGTGGTCCGGCAGCTCCATCTTCAAAGTAGACGTAGAGCCCACCAGTTAATTTGAGAAAGAATTTTTACTAAAACAATTTCAAATAAATGATAATCATAAGGTGTGTCATGATATGTTGGAAAATAATTGACCTTTTTCTCTTACATTTTCAGAAGTGTCATCAAGATGCTTCCCCCTTTTCTCTCTCTTCAAACTCTTGGCTTTTTGCCTGTCCTCACAGAATTTGCCGGTGTCGGGTTCGTCCCCTTTTTTCTCTCTTCAAACTTTTGGCTTTTTGCCTGTCCTCACAGAATTTGCCGGTGTCGGGTTCTCTGATTCCACTGCAAATTGAAACAATCTCTCTCTCTCTCCGGGACACAACGTGTGTTTCTATACTGGAGATGGTCTCTTTGGGCATTATTTCTAACGAGAATAATTAAACATAGCATTGGATTCTTGCATGGTCCCCTGGTCGAAAAATGGTTCAATAAATTGATTTTATACTTTCCAAATTTTAAAACAGAAAACCAAAATTTTCATTGATTTATATTAAATGAGCACAAATCTTCCAAAAAAAAATTATATATAT